CGCAAGGAAAGACCCGTGCGACAATGGTTCGACAAATTTCGTTCTGGAGATTTCAGCCTTGAAGATGAACCTCGTAGCGGTCGACCTAAAGCAATACCTGACGAGGATTTGAAGGCGTTTGTGGAGGCTGACCCATCCCAAACAGTTCGAGAGATTGCAGAAAAGCTAGGCGTTGGCAAATCCACTGTTGCGGATGGTCTGAAATGCATTGGAAAGGTGAAAAAACTCGACAATTGGGTGCCCCACAATCGGAGTGACCGGCAGGAATCGGCACGTCTCGAGTTCCTTCTGCATTGCTTTTGCGCAGCAGAAACGACCTGTTTTTGGGCAGAATTGTCACCTGTGATGAAAAATGGGTCATGTATGATGAAACGAGGAGGACGTTACGGACAGTGGTGGACTTCGACACGAACAACCGAGGAAGTAATTTTTAAAGGCCGAACCTCACGAAAAAAAGATTCTGTCAGGCGGCTTGGTGGCAACTGGTGGCTAAACCATCACAGCAGAACCCTGTGAAGAAATAGACGAAATGTACCGAAAATTTTGTCAGCTGCAGCCAACACTTAGAGCGCGTGCAGACTTCGCGATCCGCGCGAATCGCAAGCCGATCCGATTCGCGCGAGTCGCCGAAGTCTGAACGCGCTCTTATCACAAAAGAAAAAGGGCCCCCCGAATTCTTTTGCATGACAACGCTACCGCACAATGTTTCTCCAATCACTATGCCAATAACTTGAACGATTGGGGTTGAAGTTCTATCCAGGACACCCAACACATATCTCCAGACCTTTCAACGGCAACCGACTACCGACTTTTTGTAAACACATTTTCAAGAACTCCCTTGCTAGGAAAAATACTTCATCAATCGGACCCGCTAAAAAAAGACCTCGTAGAATTCGTCGGATGCTCGAGACCACCCGCACACCCAGTTTTTTCTTTCATAGGATTTCTTGACTGCTGTCACATTGGCAAAAGTGTGCTGATTCGAATGGTGCTTATTTGGATTAAATCCGATGAGTGTAAGAAGTTGTATAGTTTAACAGTTAAACACAACGTGTGCTTTCCTCTGACCTCAGATGTAATAAACCACACTATCTAAGACCTGAAGTAAATGACCACTGACCGATTTAATATTCTGCAGCAATCGGGGTTCATTTTTCTCAAGGAGCAACCTCCACAACGCATCAAAGACTGCATCGTTGCTGTTGACGTCGAAGGCTTCTCTGGCATACCTCCAGACTGCATCTTCACGTAATTGGTGGCCACCTCCAGATGGTATATCGGCAAGACGATTAGCATCACCCTAAGGTACATCATCATTGTGGAATTCGTGGGTCATGCTTATGTTAGTCGGGAAGAAGGGATCATATTTGGGTTGCTAGGAGAGTTATGGAAACCAGTCCGGAAGTAGTAGTAGTAACAATCCGAGACTTCTGGCTTTTCTCATTTTACCATTATAGGGATGGTATTATCCCCTCCACCCCACGATGATTTTCCAAATAAAAACTTTAGCACTGCCGGTAGTGGATGTTACGGCACTAACATTTTTAGCACATAACACGTTCCTCGTGTAAAGTAACCCCCTCTAAATGAAAATTCGAGAACAAATTTTCAGCGGACGTTGCCAGAGCTGGACCAGAGAATAAGGAGGGATGAAGACAGGAACGAAATAGAAAACCTTTCGCGTTGGCGATCCAACAGCCTGTTCAATTTCCTCTGTATGAGATACATCCATGTCGCCACCATCAACTATTCCTTGTGCATTCTGCGCACTTGCCTAAAGAAACTTGGCTCCTCTCTGATGAATGCATAACTTTCAAAGCGCAACCGAGACTTGTGCGCACTTACCAGTTCTCCTTGCTTTTTCGCTTGCGTGATGTCAGCCTGCAGCCAATCCGGGATGTAGTCCAATTCCTCCATTCTGTGAAGATAAACAGTAGTTCCCAACATCAGGCTGGCACAAAAGCCCTTACCAAGAAACGGCTTCAACTCTCCACTGGACTTTTAGTAAAGACCTAGCCACGTTTCGAAAGCTGGTTACAAAAACAGAGACCGAAAAGTGCTACTCGCATCTCTCAAACGACTCATGATCTGGTAAAGCTCGTTGAGAAGTTGTCTAACGGGAGCCCGTATCCTGGTTACCAGACGCTTTCCCCCCCCCCCCCCCTCCTTTGAACACGGAGATTCGTGTTCAAGGGGGGGGGGGTCAAACCACCAGCGGGAAATATTTTTCCAACCAACAAGGGATATTGGATTTCGCTTTTGTGCCACTGGAGCATTGCACCAATGCAAAAGTTGAACACGCATAACCTGTTTGCGAGATAAAGGATAAAGTCTTCCATTAATCAATCCGTTTTCGGAATGCGCTATGCATTCTACTTCCTCGGAATCCCAGTGTTAATTGAATGCGACGTCACTTGCGGGGGTCCGCCGTTGTACAAATCAGTGTTCTTATCCTCCCAGACGAATCTGTACCAATTCACCGTCCCCGGAGGGTAGAAGGCTTGGTTGGCCTGGGCGGGAGTCAACCCGAAATTCGAACCGGCTGCGCGAGTGGTAAGCGCGGCACTTGCCGCTGCACCTTTTCGGCCTCTGGTTGCGAATGCAGTTAGCAATTTCACTTTACACATTTATAGTCAGAATTACAAGTCTCGTTAACCTTGGTCTTCGAAGTTCCATGGAGCAGAAACCGTTTCCTGACTGTGAGCGAGTTTTCTACGACACTCCCAAGAAAGAATTGAAACAGTTTTAGTGGCTCACGTTTCGACAGGATCGCCCTCTTCAGAGCCTGAGAGGATCGAAACGAAACGAAACGCTATGCGACGAAATGTCTCTGTTATCTTTTTAACTTCGTGATATATGCAGACAACTACTTCATCGGAAGAACAGCCACTGGTCGCAACACAGTCCGATCTCCAAGACACCAGCCGGCAGTAAGACGGCTTTGTATTGCTGGTCATTCAGAGTCAACGGCCATCCTCATACTAGGTTTTAGCTCTCGCGTTACTGTGACGCACTCTTTATCCCCATTCATTTCTGGATTGCTGACCTGGATCCAAAATGCCTCGGGGTTTTCCTTGCGGATGCTTGCGATTGCGAAGCTAGGGTCTTAGCGCGATAATCGCGAACACCCGCACGGAAAACCTTCAAGGGGTTTCGGATTCTGGTGAGCAATCTAAAAAATGAACTGTAGGGAAGAATGCGTCACAATAACACGGGAGTTACGGTCTCCTATAAGGGTGGCCTTGAAATAGTGACTCTGAATGAGCGACAGTCTAGCGGTCCTATTGCCGGCTGGTGGTATCGAGGATCGGACCGTGTTGCATTGAGCGGCTCTTCTTGCGATAAGGTGGTAAGCTGCACTGATTCCGAATTTCAGTAGGATAATAGGGGCGCTTGGTCGGGTAGTCATGAATTCCTTCGATACTTCCAAGGTTCTAATGAAGGCGATACCGCCGGAACGCAACCATCAGTGTACATTTGTAAGCCTCGTGAGGATCTGATACAGAGCACTTGTCAACAAGGTACAGCATCGTGATATGTGGAATGGTGGTGTAGGTATGACTTCTCCCCCCCTTGACAGAGGATCTCGGTACGATCCCCCCCCCACCCCTTCCTCAACACCTACCTAGCAATTTCCCCATATTTTCCAGTGTTTCACCCGAAATTTTCCGTCGAGCGGTTGGTATTATAGTAGAAACAGGAAAAGTGGCGAAAAATCAACGGGTACGTATTATAGTAAAAACAGGAAAAGTGACGAAAAATCAACGACCGGGAAAAATCTTTTCCACGACCTCCCCCTTTTCCTAGCAACGAGCTAATACGCCACTCCCCCTTTCCCAGCGGTAAAATAAGAATAAAAATAAAATAATCCCCTATGTGTTTCACACAACGATGCTGCACCCTGTCTGCCAATTAAGCGGGAAATGTTTAAGAGCAGGGACTATGTAGACAAGGCTAAATTTACAAATTTTTCGCTTCTTTAGAACATGTTTGATTAGATTTGCTTGAAACCTAATGAGATTCTGATTCTGATTCTAATGAGATTTCGTGATTAATCTCACGGCATACATCAACACACTCACCCACTTCCTTCCAGTTTCACGTTTTCCACATATCTTGGCTGATCACGCCGCAACTCTCGACGGATGTTGTATAGCTAAAAACTATTTCCATTACCGTAATGCGGCTTCAACAAGGCAACGATTTTATGGCTCATTTCTTTTAGCCCAATTAATCTTCACATTTCCTCCAAGGTAGAGCTCCATTAATGAAGGAGCGTATCAGGCGGAAGGGATCTGGCGCGATGTCAAACCCGCTTCCCAACAGTCATTCAAGGAAGCAAGCAGCACGCCGAAACTGAGCGAAAGCGCTTTGCAGTCTTATTCGCTGCAGGTGAAGGGGCGTGTCAGGCGAGATGGGCCTCCAAACCTGCTATTCACCAGTTTTTGTCGCCTCTCCACTTCAACAACCGGTGTAGAGTAGGTTTGGGAACCCATTCCGCCTGACACGCCCCTTCATTTGCGGCGAATAAGATTGCAAAGCTCTTTCGCTCAGCGCTTTCACGAGAGAAAAACCTCGTAGCTGCGTGTTATTCTACAGAGTGGGCAAGCTTAACCTAGATCGTAGTGAACTATTCTAGAAGTTAACCAAACGGGGCATTGGTTAACCGTCTCACCCCCTCCCCCCCTCCCCTTCCACGCAATACAACCCGGCACTCAACTACATTTGAACCCTCCTCAAAAAAAAGGTTCGGTTTGATCGAATGTGCTTTTACAAACTGCAAAATTAACCAGCTAACGGTACATCAAAAAATTCAAACGTTTCAAGTTTTTCAACTTCAGAAATGACTCAAAGGCATCCATGTCCAGACGCGCTAAGCGAGGAAACAACGTTTTGGTGAGGACGCCCCACCTCGTCCCGCTGTAGGTGGCTTTGAAAAAAAAAACACTCTCTCGCTTTTGGCAATACTGGGCGTCTCCAGGGTTATATAAACTAATGAAAAAAAACAACAGAAAAGAATTATTTCAACAAAATGACCAACCGCACGAGGAGGCACCGCATAATTCGTTTTGTTGGAGAGCATTTCAGCGACTTCAGATGGGGGATGATTGGCTAATAAGCGCCGCGCTTCATCACGTACAGATGGTGGCAGACGTGTGTAGAGTGCCTCAGAAGTGATACTATTTCCATGTGGTACCTGGAGAAGATAGAATCGAGAGAAATACAATAGGCACGGGCTATCAAGTGGTTTGGCGGAACCTGTGTGGGTAAAGCTCCTTCCTCTGTGTACCAGTACACAATCATCGAATGACCAATTTGCATACCGCCTTTGGTTAGGTAGATCACCTTAACGGAAGAAGTAATCCATAAGAAGAA